CAGAGGCGCGGGGAAACCGCCGCTGCTGCCGCTTCAGTCAAAGCCTCAGAAGCGCGGGAACCCGCCCGGTGCCCCTGGTCTGCTGGAGACGGTCTCCAGCAGACCAGGGGCACCGGAGCAGCTTACGAACGGGGCTTTCTCGCCCCGACTTCCGGGGCGAGAAAGCTCCGTTCGTAAGTGCGGATCCGACGTAAGTCGGGGACTGCCTGTACTAGCCCTCCTGGTCCTTCCAAGAACTGAAAGAGTATCTGATGGCTTTGTATCCAGCTTCTTTGGCTTGCTCTGCAAAACCCACTGTATGCTTGAATCCTTCCTGTGCTTTAGGGGCTGAGAAGAGCTGGCTTTCTGGGTGGTATTTTGGGCCTGAATACATTACATCAGAAGTTTCTTCTCGGCTTTTGTCCCAAGAGAACTTTGACTCAAACATTCATGATGTATCATTCAAACTTGAAGGCAGTTCAGGCTAGAGGTCCTCCCTCATTGTGGCAATAGCAGCCAAAATCTCTAAATATTTAGAATGCTGTTTGGAGTAGTATGCTTGTGAGACTCAAGTAATCTTTTGTACATTGAGAAGTTCAAAGAGGTATAATGTGTTTGCTCTACATCTGTAGTTTGCATTTATAAATTGCATATGTCTTAGTTCTATATTCTGCTTGGACTATTCTTGTCTAAGCCAGAGAAATGGGAAAAGTTATTCACTTTTCAAAGCAAGAACCAAATAGCCTGCTCAAGTAAGTGGATATAGAAATCTATGTTCTGCGATTTGTGAATTTAAAATATTTCCTGTTTAGTTCTAGTTTTCTGAAATGGACATTTAAGAAGCTAAAGAGAAATATGATAGTAAAGTCAGTTAATCTCAAACACTGCCAAAGTAGTATTTCATACAGTATTGACACAGAGGACTTTATTAGGGAAAGTCATCTTCTCGCACTTTGGGTCAGTATTAAAGTTTTCCAATAACAGGTCTAATTATTTCAAGAATCAATTGAATAGTCCAATTCGCTAACTAGCTACAATCATTCTAATGTAGTTTTCCTTCTTTTAATAGTGTGAAGTGTCTCCAAAAGACTGTAAAGGATTCTTACCATATTATTTGTAGACCCTGTGCTTGTGAGTTAGAAGTGTGTGCTAAATGCGGAAAGGAAGAAGAAATTGTTGTTCCGTAAGTACTTCTCTGAAAGTTTGATTATATACTTGCACTAGTTGTAAAGCATGCATTTTCTTAAATAAAGATGTTTGAAATGTCCAATATTCTGTTGTATTTTCAGGGCACATTTCCTTAAGTTAGTATGCACTTTAAATAACTGTGACAAGATTTACTAGAAGACAACAACCTCAGTTCTACATAAATCAGTGGTGAAACTCCCATTGTCATTAGTGGGAATGAGATTAGACCCAATAAGACTTTTAGTTGCAAAGAGTAAATTACATCTACTTTGAAACTGAACTTCTAATTCCATCTTAGAAAGCTAAGTACCAGAAAATATGCACAAGCTGATTTACTGTTTGAATTCAATTTGTCATGTGAGGATTCAGAATTACAGTAAACAGAAAAAACAAATCAAAACAAGGGTTTCTATAACCTTGAATATAGCAATAGCAAGTATGCTATATAGTGTTTTTATTGCTCGTGCCAGCAGTTTCTCTTTATTGAGCATGATGTATTAACGTGCCGGTATGTGGCTTATGGCCAGCAATAAATAGTTTGAACAAAACTATTCATAGATTTTTTTTTTTCCAGGGACTCTCTCTCTACCATTTTATTAGTTTTTCCATTCAGCAAAAAGAGGTTTTTTTTTAAAAAAAAAATTGTTCCCTCCCTCCCCCGCCAATGAAGGTGTATCACCCTGCCACTCCTAACTTAATATTTAGGTTCTGAAAGCTTGGCAGATAATACTTACATTTTCTTTTAGGATCAGTAAAGGACCAGAGAAGACTGAGGACGAGACTACTGGAAATTGCCAAAGAAGGATCAATAGAAGAGATGAGTCAGAGGAAAGTGATGATCTGGATTTGGACATTGACTTAAATGGCATGGACAATAAGAATCCTGACATGCTGGAGGAAAATTATTAAATATGAAAGTCTGAAATATAAAAACATGAAGTTTGAAAGGGCAGAAGTCTGAAATTGTTCATGTAGAATCTTATATGGAAGACTAGAGTTCTAGTCAGGAGATTATACAACTGAAGAAAAAAAAAGTCAGTGATAACCTACCTCGTATTTCCACTGTGACAGTTCAGTTGGACATTTGAGTTCTTGACACAGTAGAAGAGAAACATTTATATTTGAATGAGATTCTGCAATATACAGTTTGAATGTGTCATTTTCTGTGATATAGGAAGTTATGGAGCCTTTCAACCTACAGGCCACTGGTTTTAACAATTATCCTGATTGACACTTATTGTCATGTGGTAAGTGTTCTGTGGTTTGTGCTAAGTGGATTGTCGATCTCAGGCTGAAGTATTATAAATGAATGGCCCTGTCACAAAAAGGAAAGCTAGCTCTACTTTTTAACAATTTAATGAAGGATTTTAGATACTAAGCTACTTTATTAGACATGCTAAAATAATCCAGAACAGGGTTCTGCGATGTATCGCCACTACCCTCACACTTACTGCTCATTTCTTGTAAGTAGAGAATCTGAACACTTATGGTAGTTCTCATAAGCAACACTTCTTCAGTTGACATCATTAACACGTTAAATGTTAAATGACAAGTTTAAATCCTTTGAAGATTCTCAGTGAGCTGACCACAAACCTATTGTTTTGGTTAGTGTAGTTTCACACAGCTGATCTTTCCTTTGTGAGTTGTATTTTTAATTCTGTTTGCCTTTTGATGTAAAGTGTCCTCTAGTGTCACTCACATGTAACTGCATTTATTTTTCAGCTGCAGAGTTGCCGTGGTTGAGCTGTAATCTAGTTCACATGTGTGTTTTTTGTAGGAACAGTCTCTCTGAAATTAAAGCCCATCATTTTCTACGTTATAGAAAAATAACTTTCTAGAACACCTTAATGGGGAAGGCTTAACTAAATCTATTAGAATAAAATAATCCTTTTATTACTTGAATTCAGTAGAACCTTTTGGTAGTGTGATTTGCAACCTGAAATACTGCAAGAAATAAAAACGGTTTTATCTGCTGTGGCAATAGATTGAGGCCAGAAAGGACCACAAGGATGAACCACATGTGACTCTTCGTAGAGTTTCCCAGTTCTAAGGGACCTTGCTTAGAGTGTTCATCTGACCTACCAAAGTGCCATCTCAGATGCCCTGAAATTTGCAGCCAAAGGTTGAATTCCTAAACTACACTTCCCCAAAGTGTGTTTTTTAACCCATGTGAGGCAATAGGGCTGGCTCCCAGTACACTGGAACTGCTACCCAATTGATCTTTTTATTGTACCAGTTTGAGCACCCGGAGTCAGACTCTAAATGATGAAAAAAAATTGCATGCAGGCTGCCAGAGAATGTTGAGCATATGAAGTAGGGATGTAAGCGACTAGTTGACTATTCAGTGAACCTAGGCTTATCAGGTAGTTGAGACACTACTTTACTAGTCGCTTCTCTCTTGCTGCCTCTATGTATATGAAATTCCATTGATTGGGTGATTAGCTGATTAAATGCAATTTAACATCCTTAATATGAAGGTAAGGGATAGGCCAAAAATGGGGTATAAAAATGAAATGTTTTGCATAAAGAGCAGCCATCTTACGAACCAACCTGGTATATGTGGCTAGCCACATTATACTGCATGGAAATATTTCCAACCCTTGTACAATGTTCTCTTGCCTATAGAGTTGCCAACTCTTCAGGATTAGCCTGGAATCTCCAGAAATTAGATACTGTCATGTGATATAATCTCCAGGAATTCATCCAAACAAAATTGGCAACCCTACTTTCCTAACTTTTGTTTACACAGAAAGTAATACCTCCCTGGTCTGGCACCCTTGGATCTTGAGTGGTACAGGACCAGGGAGTTTGCGGGACCAGGGGAGGTCAATGCTCCCCTGATGCTGGCTTCTCTCCTTAGGACTCCCCACCCTGCTGCTGCCCTGCTAATGCTGGCCAGCCGGAGTTACTCCATGCTGCTGCTGGGGGTTTCCCCACAGCTTCCCTATTGCAGCTAGCCCTGCATGGCCATTGACTGCCATGCTGCTGTGAGGCAGCTCAACCATCCTTCCCTGGGATCTCTGGCCAGGACTGCTGGGTTACCCAGTGGTAGTGGAGCCATTTCCCTGCCAGGCCTTGGGTTCCTGGCCGTCACCTGGCCTTGCTGATGCTTGGGATTTCCGGTTGGGGCTCCCTGGCCATCCCCTAGGCCCTACTGATGCCAGGGGTTCCCTGCCCCTGCTGGCCCAGCCAGGACTCCCCAGCCCCTCTTTTCCCAGCTGGTTCCCATTCCTGGTCTTTACACAAGCACCACTGCTAACATTGCAGGATTAATTGCCTCATGCAAAATATCACTTGGGGCCTGATTTTACATTGTGCGGAGTGCAAGGGCCAGGTTCATTTGATGGTTTGCATCAGGTCTAGTTAAAGTAGTGCGAAAATTGATTGTACAATTGAACTTAACTCCAGTTGCTGCTATGATGAAGCTGACCTGTAGTTAATGTCTGCAGTAAAAACCCATGAGTTTTTAAAATACACCTACATAAAGTTGTCTTTAAGATGAAGATCTGTGCCGTGTGCAATGCCTTTGAAAATCTGGAGGTTCTAGTTTTATGCCAAAACATGAAACTAATGCCAATTGACTTTACATATCCTATAGTAGGACAAAAAGGAATCTAAAGCACTGAAGACATTAAAATACAGTATTTTCCTGGGGTAAATAAACTTGAGTGCCTGTTTCAGACACATTTATAGTTATGAGGTCTTTGATTCTGAGCTTGGTCAAGAATTTCTAAATGGGCATCTCCATTGACATGAATGGAACTAGGAGAAACGGTAGTTCGGAGTAGGAAGCCTAGTCCGAACTACCGGACATTTAAAAATGGCAGCGCCCGGCAACATGGAAATGAAGCCCGGGAAATTCAAATCCCGGGCTTCATTTGCACCTCCGGTTGACTACATTACCACCCTAGTTCGAACTAGGGTGGTAGTGTAGACATACCCTTACAGACAAAAAAAAAAAAAAAGACAAATAGTCTATAGAGTGCTACCAGACTTTTTTTTTTTTTAAGGCTGAAATATGTTCACTACATCATTTGCGCCCACTCGTTCAGCATCCCTCCATCTGCCACCCTGGCCGCTGGCATACCCCTTATACCAGACATGTTATGAAAGTTTATGGGTGTCTTTCCCAGTGCATGCACTAGGGCAGACCCTATGGTTTGACTGCCCATTATGCTGGATAAATGGGTCAGAGCAGCATAAAGGGACCAGATGGTGAGAATCTTGCCCATTATGTATATAAAGTTCAGAGTGTAACAGAACATGAACCTGTATCTATTGTAAATAAGCTTTTAAGCGTTGCCCATTATGTATATAAAGTTCAGAGAGTGTAACAGAACATGAACCTGTACCTATTGTAAATAAGCTTTTAAGCTAAACATACTGAAAGGTCTGAAAATGTACAGTGTTTAAAAGCCAAGGCACTGATACTTATTTTATTTTCTGTTCCATTAGAGTGCATTCATGTAATGGGTTTTACAAATAAAAACTACAGAGTTTGTAGTTAAAAACAAACAACCATACACACCTCAGCCCACAGAGATATTCAAAGGTTCTGGGTTTAAAGAACCAGCCAGCTAGTGATGTTGCAGAATACTAGGCTGCTAAGTGGCAGAAATGGAAAACAGATTTGAAACTTGTGATGTACAGTCTAATGGGAAGTGAGTAGATAGTGTTTAACCCTGGGCTATAGGTCAAGTTGCACTGTTGTGAGAGCATGCCCCCCCATTGACAGCTCTGATGTCTGCTTCAGTGTGACACTGCCTTCCTTCCTGCTCGTTGACAGCAATATAGGTATAGAGAAAACAAGGTTTAGAAACCCCCTTGGTTTTCATAGTGTTTAACCCTGGGCTATAGGTCAAGTTGCACTGTTGTGAGAGCATGCCCCCCCATTGACAGCTCTGATGTCTGCTTCAGTGTGACACTGCCTTCCTTCCTGCTCGTTGACAGCAATATAGGTATAGAGAAAACAAGGTTTAGAAATCCCCTTGGTTTTCATAGGTAGTTTGGAAATAATTTCCAAATAGGGCTTTTGGAAACTGAAACAAATTGGGTATGAAATTCACACTCAGAATGACTTAAGTGTGACAAAACATCCTCTCAGTAAAGCAACAGTACTGCAGAAAAATACTCACTAATGGTCTGGCCTTTTAGCCTAAGGTGAAAGGAAATCCTGAAGTGGTAGGAAAGTACGTCATGGAATTGGCAGTCTCTGCAAGATCTGAGAATTGGGGGATTTCTGCTGTTGTGGTGACAGCCTATTAGCAAGATCTGAGAATTGGGGGATTTCTGCTGTTGGTGACAGCCTATTCTGGGGACAAACTCTGGTGAGCAGGGGGTGACTTAACAGGGCAAAACAGGAATACTTAAAGAGGTTCTTGTAACTGAATTATGGTTGGAAAGCTACATTTGACGAACACCTGGGCCATGCCTTATGACATAGTGTGACTCAAAGGCCTTGCCAGACACTAATATCACTGTACTAGTTTTGGAAGGGTGGTGAATCTCTGCATAGACAGCTTTGGCATTCATTTTCCACACCTTGTTGATGAGGCTTTCCTAGAATGGGGTTATTGATATGGTGCTGAAAACAACTGCCATGGCCAAAGCTATCATACTTCAGTTCCCAAAATTGCTATCTACGGTATAAAAATGCCTTATGGTAGATATCTGAAAAGTTTCCCTTCTGCCTGGAGTGAAGTGTAAGACTTAACAGGATAGATACATTTGCATCAAAATTGCCATTCAGAAGTCTTTAAAGAAAAAAGTAAACCTAATTGCCATGTTGGTCTAGAATAAAATATGAATTGAACCCACAGAAGCACGAGTCTATAAAAATTCAGTTTTCCTAAACATTTGTTTGATTCTTCATAAAGGAGCTGACTGGTTAGTTGGACATGTCTTTTCCAGTTATAACACATCCCAATGAGGCTTCCATGTGAAAGTTTATTTTAGACAATGACGCAAAAGAAGAGGAGAAACACGCTTCAAAGAGGAGAGTGCAAGTTTTATGAGACTGCTGAAGTGATGTTATTTAGGATTACAAAAGGGGAGTCTTCAGATTTTTCCCCTCCCCCCATTACAATTATTTGAATACCTACATATTGATAATTGCGATGGCAGCCTTGCCGCCAATATTAATTTACATGCCTATGGATCTGTGCAACATGCCACATTTTAAGTTAGTCCCTTGGAGGAACCCCCCCCTGTCTATCAGACCCTGAAGGGTAGGCCATGTGGCCTCAGTGACTAACACTGAGCATCTGGACACCAGTACTCACGTTTCATATACAGTGCTGTCCAGGGGGTCCTGCTGAGCTGATCTCATCAGAAACTTTCGCCATCTTCAGGGGCCAGCGCACCTCACTAAGGCAGCCTTTTCAAGACAGACCAGGATTTTTTAGTAGTCATTTGGAACATTGCCAGGCAATCCTTACCTTAGTAGAGAGAAAAAGGATAAGGCTAAGATAGCGTTCCACCCAGCTATGGAATCCCTTTCTGATTCTCCCTGTCAGTCCCAAGCCAGAGCTGCTAATTCTCTGCCAGCACCAATTCTTATCCCTGTACTGACACCATTTGGTCCCTCGTTTTTGAGAAATCACCTTCCTCTTGGTTGCTGTTACCTACATGTAAACATCTTGGCAATTGAGGTGTCAGTTTACATTTGGTCCCTCGTTTTTGAGAAATCATCTTCCTCTTGGTTGCTGCTACCTACATGTAAACATCCTGGCAATTGAGGTGTCAGTTGGTCAGCTTTTTAGGACATGTCTACACTGGGGAGTAGGGTTGCCAGATGGTTTCAACAAAAATACTGGACACACTTGACATTACATCACAATCTACATTACATCTTATTTAGAAAACACCAGACATTTTCTCATTTGTTTCCCAACCAGAAAGCTCAAATACTGGACTGGTTGAAAACCGGACACCCTGTTTCCCAACCAGAAAGCTCAAATACTGAACTGGTTCAAACCGGACACCTGGCAACCCTACAGGGGACTTATTTAAAAATAAGGTGAGTGTCCACACTACCAAGCCTGTTATTTCAAAATAATTCCTGCTTGTGAAGAGCAGTAAGTTTATCTTGAAATAGTTATTTCAAAATAAGTTATTTTGAAATAACCTGGTAGTGTAGACATAGAATGAATAGGTCATGAAGGCTATCCCAGACAACATGACAATACTTGTTCTCCCCCAATAACAGTTTTAACCCTTTTGCAGCCGTTGGTAGTGCATCCAATTACAGGAGACATGAAGCAATCAAAAAAATTACAGCAGATTCTCACTTTATCACAACTTGTAAAACTTGGAGGAAATAGTAACCCCATTTTTCTATTGAAAAATGGATACATATCAAGTGAGTTACCCAAAGTGATGAGTTCTAGATCTCCTATGGATTCCTAGAAACAGAACCTAGATGATGTGAGTCGAAATCTAGTGCATTACTCAAATCCATATTTTTTCTTCCCTATCACTATTGGAGTGCCATGGAATTGAATTCCTATAATCTAATATTTGTGTAGTATGTTAGTTTTATCAACTCTTTGACTAGGTAGAGCACTGTGAAAGGCTTCTCTTAAAATGATAGGCCCAAAGTCAGGTATGCAGGGTGACTCTCCCTTGCACAATAGGATAATCGTGATAAAAGAGCAGTGATGCACATAAATATCTGTTGACTTTAACTAAGAATTCAAACTTTTTACATAAAGGAATTCTCAGACTCAGTAATGGATTGTGTAACCAGGCTACTTCACACAAACTGCAGAGGATAGTGGTCTACCTTCAGAGTTATAAGTGCAGAAGCACAAATGGACATTTGTATCTCACAATATTGAAGCATCATGCCAGCTACACTACAGTCAGCTACAATGGGGATTAAAAAAATGAAATCTACTGAAGAGTCAGATAGCTGATTCACCTGGAGTTGTAGATAGTCTTTGAAGTGCTACCTTACTATTTGTTGTTTTTTAAGAAAGTCCTATGCCACTTCACGGTCTTTGAAGTGCTACCTTACTATTTGTTGTTTAAGAAAGTCCTATGCCACTTCAGTGACAAAGACAAACAAAACATGTAGATGGTATCATGAGCTTTCGTGGGCATGTTCAGGATACCATGTACTGTACATGTTTTGTTAGTCTTTAAAGTGCTACCATACTTTTTTTTTTTAAGTTTATCCTGAACAGACTAACTCAGCTACCCCTCTGAAACTTTTGAAAGATGTTCTTGATAACCATGGGAAGAGGATCCAGAATTCAGTGCATGGAGGGCCTGGACAGGACAAAGTCAGAACTCATAAATGATGCTAAATGCTAGACATCTACATCCATAGGCATCTGGAAAAAGACATAAATGATGCTAAATGCTAGACATCTAAATCCATAGGCATCTGGAAAAAAAAAAAAATCAGGATACTATATACATTTGTTAGTCTCTAAAGTGCCACAGAACTACTTGTTCCATTTCTTTGGTAAGGGTTTTGGTGCCTAATTTTGGTTACTCAGAAAAGATAAACTGGGGAATTAGCGACCTGCCTGAAGTTAAGACAGAATCAAAGTCACCAAGTTCTGTGCTTTAGCCACATGATTGTTCATTATAAGTAGGATACATAAAAACTATACTACTGTAAGTGGATTTCTAATATGACTCAGTATCCTTGCCACACAATCTGCTTGGAAACAAGCTACCTATTGCCCCCTAGCAGATTTTACAAACACTGCAAGCAGGCTCCAAGAAACTTTAAAAAGCTGTTGGTATTCAGGGGCTGAAGGGGTAGGGGTATAGATTAACCGATTAGTTCACGGAGAACCCACTTTTTAAACTAGATCCTCCAAGTGA